CCGCCTACTACTTCGAGAGGGACGTCAAGGGCGAGTCCCTGTTCACCGGGCGCAGCGGCCTGGACGTGAGCGTGCGCGGCGAGCCCCTGCTGGTGGAGCGGACGCTCATCTACTACCTGGACGAGAAGCCGCCCCAGTTCTCCATGAAGCGCCTCACCGGCGGCCTCATCGCCGTCATTGTGGTGGTCGTGCTGGCCCTGGTCGCCGGCGTGGCCGTCCTGGTCATCACCAACCGGCGGAAGTCCGGGAAGTACCGCAAGGTGGAGCTCAAGGAACTGGGGGAGTTGAGACAGGCACCCAGCTTGTAGGTACGGGCGGGACGGGGCGGGGGCGGGGTGGGGTAAGGGATTCTAGCGGGGTTCCCAGACCAAAGTGGGTCATTCTTCTTGACTCTTGGCCCAAAGGAGACATTTCTCTTCCCAAATTCCTGTCCCTCCGTCCTCCACCAAGCTTGACAGATCCTGGTCTGGGCGTCGCTTCTCTTTGAGACTTCCGTCTTGAAGGAAGCATTTCTGCAATTCCTTCCCTCTCGGTCCAGCCAGACTTGAAGAGTGAAGGAAAGGCTGGCCTAGGGCTCTGTGTGAGGACCCAGGGTCTGTGCAAACCACCCAGCAACTTGACCAGTGACGCCATCCATGTTGAAGGCTTAAATGCGTTTAGATGGGAAACAGCGCTTTTACTGTCTGGGATTGAAGTTATGTGATCAGCGCACGGCCTTCCTGACTGACGAGGGGTTCGGTTCGCTGATTGGGCCGGGGTAGTATCTGCGTTTACCCCCGTTTGCTTTCCCGGTCGCACGTGCTGGCCCCCGGGAAAGAAGTCTGTGTCAGCGGCCTGAACACGCTTGAGATGTCTGTCTAAGGGCGGACTCGGCCGGAAGCACAGCGTCTAGCCTTCAACTCGTCCTTGTTATAGATGATATTAGTAATGTTTCTTTTGTAAAATGTTTGTACATATGTTGTCTTTGATAATGCTACTGTGATTTTTTTAAAAAAAACCACACGAATTTAATAAAACATTAAGGCACAAAAGATGGAGTTGGTGAAAACTTGCTCTAGATTTATGTCAGTTTACTCTAATTTCCCACGACTTGTATTTCTCATTTTAAATTATAACACTTTTTTTGCAGGAGTGGGCACTTTATATTTCCATTCTGGTGAACAGCAGAGATACACTAGCAGGCTGGTGCAATGACTGGTTTTTCTAAATGAGATTATTTGGAAACCTCCCTCAAACTGCTGGAGGGTGGGGCTGAGGAGGAGGCCAGAATCAGGTGCTGTTGGCTTGTTTCTAATCAAGAATTCTTAAGTGGAGAGGGGAACCTGTTTGTTTCAGGAGCTGTATCTCTGTTGAACCCTTGCCCTATTTGGAAGCAGGTGGTACTATTCCCATTTAGCCCTTGGCAATTTACTTAATCCCAAAGTATTGTGGTTCTGAGAGAGGTTAAGTGATCTTCTATGCCCTTATGGTGAATCTGTGGAGAGCCCTATGCTGGGACTCTGTGTGCACGCTAAGGTTGTTTTCCTAAGATTTTACGAGTAATGTACTTTAAAAATGTTTACCTCCTATTAGCTGTAAAAGCTAGCAACTTGTCTCCTTTACACTTATCCCTTGTTTTTAGTCATTCACTTTCTTTTATGAGAACTGAGTGTGCTAGAAGGTCTCTGTGGGGTAGCCCACAAGCAAGCAGGTTCCTGCAATTCCTCAGAAATTACTGCAACAATATAACAAAGGAGGGAGTGGTTGGTATATCCAAAAGCAAATAGCTAGAGCCAGGACTTCAGTGTCTTGCCCTGGAATCAGTCTTAAGTTTCTATTTCC